GATGCTGATTGGACATAACCTGAGTCTGCTATAGTTCTTTGGATAGTGTGGACTGAAGACCAATCCTGGAGGTATCATATAGAAAACCAAGTTAACCCCTCTGGTAGATCTTACACCATTCTGGCTTCTTCTCTCTGTTGCTGAGATCTAGCCTATTTTGCATTTTTTTCCCTCCTACCCTCCCTTTCTTTATCCCTTTTCCCTTTCTGTCCTTAAAACATCTGTAGGATTTCTGGTTGAGGGACTATGCAAGGTACAGCTGCACCTAAACAATGCTGTAAGGATCTTGTATATGGGGCCCAATAGATTGCTTCAGAAATAAGTGCTTTGCTAATGAGGTCCACCTGGAAGGTTTGTAGCTGGTATGGTCACTCTGCTAGAATGGGTGCTGTGTCTGAACATCTAGATCAGTGCCTGTCCAGGCCAGAGTTTTCCTCTACCTGAGGTCTACTCTCAGCCATTCAGGGTATCTAGATATCAGCAGGGGAAACCTTTGACGTTTCTATCTCTTCTCACCATCACTTGTATGTGCAAGGTACAGATTTCCTCTTTACAAGTAGAGCCTACTACGGTTCTATTTGAGATACCTAATCAGAGATTCTCTTTTATCATTTCTCCTTCCACTTATAGCCCAATTCAGAGTCTAAAACCTCATCCTGATCCTATCTTTCTCTAAGAAAATACTTGTTTTTATTTTTTTTAATTTTAATTTAATTTTACTTATCTTTTGTTTTAATTAAAAAGGTGGTATTTGTTCACTTTGATGAAATTGGAAAATAAAAATTAATAATCACAACGAATAACCACTGCTAATATTCTAATATGTTTACTTTGTTTTAAAAAATGAGTGGAAACATAAGCATGCACACACACAGCCCAAGACATATACACAGTGTGTATAATAACGTGTACTGAGCAATGTTCTGTTAAGCATTTTATATTCATTTGATCTTCACAGGAACCATGTGAAATTATTATTTTTGTCTGCAGGCATCCATCTCCCCCACCCTCCATCAACCACCCCATAATTTCACCTTGGTACTAGTCCTGGTGGAACAGATAGTCTGGGGACATGCTCCGTTTATGGCAAAGGGCTGAACACATATCCTATACCAGGCCAATAGGATGCCCTCTCTGGAAATTGAATCTTGAATAGAATGACTCAGAAAAACTTAGCAGCCACTTGATCATATTCATCTAGGTGGTGTTCTCCTGAAAAACTTCCATAGATTGTTACCTACATCTTATGAGTGGCTTTGGGACCTGCTCTTGCCCATGCTAGCTTCTTCAAATACTCCTCTGAATCTGTAAGATTTCTCATATCCTTGCAACAACATTGTTATTTATAAAGTTACCCAGGTTTGACTTCTCCCACTTACCACCAAAAAATACATAACTAATATAGAAATACGTAGTAGTAATAATAATAATACAAGTATTATTCTATTTTGCAGAGACAAACTGAAGCTTACTGAAATGAAGTGACTTGCTCAAGATCACCCAGGCAATAAGAAATCATATCAGGTCTCCGTAACACTAAAGTTTGTGCTTAATTCTAACCAACTCTCTTTTCGATCTCCTTCTGTACAGACACAGAGGTGTGTGTATGTGTGTGTGTGTGTGTGTGTATTCTTATATGTATTCTTCCACATTAAGATCTGGCCATATTAAAAATTTTAATCATTTCCAGCCTTCAGTTTTTTTGTCTGATAATAAAATCGCTGAAGAAAAATTTTAAATTACTGTAAAGTACAAAGAAGGTAAAACTTACCCATTATTTCAATACCCTGATATCATCAAAATTACTATTAACATTTTGGTTTGTTTAGTCTCTCTTCTCGTTCTCTCTCTCTCTCAGTGGGTATATATATACACTCACATGCATACAAAATAGGGATCCATACATAAATTTCCATATATAGTATATATATATATATATATAAAACAGTGAGAGTGGGAGAGAGCCATACTGTATATACAGATTTGTATCATCAATTTTTCCTTTTGATATTATTCTTTAAGCCTTTTCCTGAGCAATTAAACTTCTTTCAAAATATTTTAATAGCTACAATATATTTCATTGTATGGATATACCATAATGTATTTAATCACTCTTCTTTCAGACATTTAATGGCTGTTTCTTTTTCTACTTTGATAACTAGCACTGCAATCAACAATTTTGTTGGCATCTGATTATTTTCTTAGAATAGATTCTGGAAGTGAAACTATTGGTTTAAAGGCTTTGAGCATTTTAAAGATTCTTGATATAGACTGTCAAAAATTTTTCAAAAGATTATTCCAATTTACAACCCCACAACTAGTGTTTAAAAATCAGTTTTATTCAGTGCTCCAAATATAGATGCCAACTTTTAGAAATGAATGTCAACAGTTGGAAAATGATAGACTATATTGTATTAGGCTTTTTTTCAATATATATATATTTCTAATTATAAAGTAATACAAACTAATTGCAGGTTAAAAAATATAGATTACAGAAAATAATCCCTTTATCCATAAATAAAAATGACAGTTTGATGAACATTCCTTTGTCTTCTTGCTGTGCACATATTAAATAAATATTTATAATGTTGAGATCATATGGCTCATACTTTTATGTACGAATTTTTAATTTAATGTTATATATCATTATGAATTTATATTATTCTCCAAAGCATTGTTTTTATTAGTTGCCAAATAATCTATCTTGTAAACTGGCTATAATGTAGTTAACCTTTCTTGCTTATTGTATGTGGATTGATCAGCATAAATAGAATTGCAGTACATAACATTTTGCATAACCTGACTACATTTTTGATAATTTCAATAGAATTTATGACCAGAAGTGGAATTATAGAATCATGGGTTTAAATAGCATGGCTATTTTAAAGTTTCTTGACAAACATTGACAGAAAATTAGAAAAGGTGGCTCAGTCGTTAAGCGTCTGCCTTCGGCTCAGGTCATGATCCCAGGGTCCTGGGATCGAGCCCCGCATGGGGCTCCCTGCTCAGCGGGAAGCCTGCTTCTCCCTCTCCCACTCCTCCTGCTTGTGTTCCCTCTCTCGCTGTGTCTCTCTCTGTCAAATAAATAAATAAAATCTTTAAAAAAAAATAGAAAAATTATTCTAAAATGTTTGTTCCAGCTTTGTATGAAAGTGCACTTCACTCTTCTCAACATTATTTTTTTCATTGTTTTATTTCAATGATTTATGTTTTGCATTTTTCTAACCTTTTCATATTTCCTTGAATTATTTGTATTTCTTCTTTGAATTCACTGATCATGTCCTTCACATATTTTCCCATTAGACCTAGTATCATGAAGACAACAGAGCATCCTTCTCTGAGGATCTGTTCTCTGCTTCTACAGAGCTCAGAAGAATAACTCAGTTGCCCCCCAGTTACTTTTCTTAAATATTCCTGGTAATTCACCTGTGGCTCTTAGTGATAAGCATATATGATTGTAGTAACTCATATTTGTAAAGGACTATCCAATTCATAAAACTCTTCCACATCCATTATCGGTTTTGCCCCTGTGAACGAGACCGGGCAGGTTAGTGTCATATGCTAGCATCACTGTAGAAATGTGGACGTTGGATTCCACAGGAGAAAGCTGTTAACAGCCAGTGGGGAGTAAAGTCAAGACTCAGACCAGGTCTTCAATTCCTAGATCTTCTCCTCTTCATTAAGTCACTTTATTGATGTTGCTAGTGTCCAGAAATATAAAACGACTCCACATGGGGTAAGAAAGTTCTGGAATAATGTTAAGAAACTTGATAGCAAAGGCAAGGACTCTATTCTTAGAATGAGACTGATTTACATTTGAGAGCTTTTAATTGCAGTCATCTATCAGTTTTTAACTTTCAATGTCTAAATATAAAGACGCGGCAGTATAAACGAGCCAGCTGCATTTTTACACAGCGCATGAACTGATGAGTTTATGAATGAGTGAAGTGATGGAAATCAACAGCAAGAGTAAGAATATCCCAACCCAGTTCAACAGCCTAAGCCATACATCAGTACCTTGGAGAGCTTCCAACTTTAAGTCAGCCCCTCCCTCACATTCTCAAAAAAGACAGGTTTTCAACCTCCAAAGGAAAATCGGAAGCATTTTACACTGATATCTTCCATGTTTTTTGAAAACTTCAAGGTGATTTCATTTTCCATTTTCCTACCTGAAAATGGTCTTCCCTTTTGCCCCATTTCAAATAAAATTGCCCGTGGCTTGTGATCTTGTGAGAGCTTATTTAATTTAAGCAGCTTTATGGTATTTTTCCCCCCTTAGCAAACACATTTCGTTGCCATGCCTGCAAATTAAAATGTCCTTTGCCATTGAGCGCCCAGGAGAAAATCAGCTCTCCCTATCGCGAGAGTTTTTTATTCTTGGGTAGGATCTGTTTCTGAAGACATGATGGCAGCAGAGCGTGGGTCTCCACAGGTGTAGCCAGGAGCTGCCCTACCTCGAGAAAGAAGGCGCTAAGATGTCTGAGCCCGCCCTACTTACGCTCGGAGCCCCGCTGCCTCTTCTGCCCTTGGGGCTGCGCGAGCTTCTGCCTCTACAATGCCCCGCCGCGCACGCGCGCTCCCCGCCCCCGTCCTCACCGCACCTGCCAGGTCACAAACCCCTTCCCACCCTCTCGCGCTCCCTCCCGGAGGCTGTCTTGTCTCACATTGATTGGTCGGAGCCAAGAGGGTGCGTCCAATCAGCAATCCCTCCTGCGCAACCTATCCCCGCTCTTCCCGCCCCCTGCCGCCCCTGCCGCCCCTCTCGGGCACCTACTTTCTTTGTGACTGGTGCGCGCTC